GGAGTGGAGGGAAAAAAAATAAATGAGCTGACAGGCTCCGTAGCTAATTAGAAGTCTGTGGCTCAGAAGGCTCATGGTTAATTCATGAAGCGCGGTCCGCCTGCATTATGTTTCTTCAGCCCCCCGGCCCCCCAAAGCAGGAGCCTTTCAGCAAGGACCCAGATATCTGCCCCTAAACACCCCCTAACAATGCCCGTTAGAGCTCCCCGACACAAAGGTCCCCCTCACGGGCCCGCAGCATGCCGGATTCTGGAATGCAGCATAGCGTAGACTCCTTGCTTCCCGTGACGGAAGACCATCAAGAACACGCTCTTAATCCGGCCCCCGGTTTTTCTGATTTCTTCCCAGTGTGAGAGAGAGGTGGGGGGAGTGGGGGAAGAAAATAGTCCGGTGACGGGGAATTACGATTTTCTTAGGAGAATGAGAATGAGTCCTGTTTAAAGCGATGTCTGTTTTTTGTTTTTTTAATCTTTCCAAAATCACCGTGGGCGTTAATTAGTCCATTTTGCCCCGTGGTTGTTGAAAAACCCACACCCCTTCAGCGGTTTCTCCATGTACAATCCAGCGGTGAACTGCCGGTGGTGCCTTTCGAATCACCTTCCTTTCCCGGCTGGTTCCTCTCCCGGGGAACGTCCACTCGGCGTCCATCAGGGCTCTGTCTCTCACCTCTCATGTGGCTGTTGTTAGCCGGGATCCAAGCAGAACAGGGTGCTAGGACCGTAAGCTAAACTGCTGCTGTCTTCCGGGAAGACTTCCAGGATAAGATGCTGGGTCATCTCAGTGAACCAGTTTCAGGGTTTGTCCGGCCTCCAGAGGCCCAGAAAGCCTGGAGCCTGGGAGAATTTGAAAGTCTGTCCTGCACGCGCCCCCTTCCCCTTTTGATCAGAATTCTCTAAGGAATCGTTCATGAAAGTGTTCCGTCACAGCGGCTGCGTGCACACCGTTTCTTGCCGTGGCATGGAAACAAGGAGGAAGCGCCTGCAGTCATTTATGCACATGCTCCCTCTCCTCCTGGGAGACATCCTCTCGTTGAAGAGATGTGCCACGAGCCTTGGCTTGTTCTGCTGAATCCAAAGGCTGGCTGACCTACACTCTTGTGAAACAGCACCCTCATAAACAAGCACAGCCTAATGAAACACCTCCCCAGGAAACGCACAGACGGCATTTATGCCACACCGTCCTTGGCCGGATCCGGGACTGAAGGCAGGACCCGTGACCACAGTTATTTGGGGACTGTTTACGGGACGAGATTGCTGAACGACCCTTCGCCTTGCCAGCTGTGACGGGGGCAGTGTTATAGGGAAATCTCTTTGGTCTGTGCTTTTCTGTGAAATGTTTTTATGAAGGGACGGCGTGCTTAAAATCTTTAGTGGGTGACGTGCCCTGTTTCATGCGGCTTACTAGAGGGGGCCGTGAGGATTATGTGTGAATGCAGCCTCCCCTGTCATTTAATGCTGTGGGCAGAACACAGGTTTGTGTGTGTGTGTGTGTGTGTGTGTGTGTGAGCGTGTTCACGTGTCAAGAGGAACAGGTCCACTGACACTCACCTGTGTTTAAGAGAGAATTTCATATCGTGTGATAGCAAGAAGGCATTCCGGTCCATCCGTCCTCCAGGCCCCAAGTCCCGGACAGGAGGAAGGTGAGGGGGCAGAGGGAGGAGGACCAGTTAGTGCCCAGCATCTCCCTCATAAGGAGGCCACGCCCCCAAGGGGCGTCCCAGACAATCTCCCTTATAAGGAGGCCACGCCCCCAAGGGGGCGTCACCAGGCAATCTCCTTCATAAGAAGGCCACACCCCAAGGGGGCGTCATCAGACATCTCCCTCATAAGGAGGCCACGCCCCCAAGGGGCGTCACCGGACAATCTCCCTTATAAGGAGGCCACGCCCCCAAGGGGCGGCACCAGACAATCTTCATAAGAAGGCCACCCCCCAAGGGGCAGCATGATAGTCTCCCTTTTAAGGAGGCCACGCCCCCAAGGGGCGTCATCAATCTCCCTTATAAGGAGGCCACGCCCCCAAGGGGCGTCCTATAAGGCATCTCCTTCATAAGAAGGCCACACTCCATGGGGGTGTCATCAGACATCTCCCTCATAAGGAGGCCACGCCCCCAAGGGGCGTCATATAAGGCATCTCCTTCATAACAAGGTCACGCCCAAAGGGGCGTCACCAGGCAATCTCCCTTATAAGGCGGTCACACCCCCCAAGGGGCGTCACCAGGCAAGCTCCCTCATAAGGAGGCCACGCCCCCAAGGGGCGTCACCAATCTCCCTTAGAAGGGGGCCACGCCCCAAAGGGGCGTCAACAATCTCCCGTAGAAGGAGGCCACGCCCCCAAGGGGCGTCAACAATCTCCCGTAGAAGGAGGCCACGCCCAAAGGGGGCGTCAACAATCTCCCATAGAAGGAGGCCACGCCCAAAGGGGGCGTCACCGGGCTGTGGCCTGACTGACAGGTTGGATTCAGCAGGACATGGTCCTGGTCTCGAGTGGACATGCAGCCGTCCCGTGACCACAGGAAGGAGAGGAAGGGAGGGGAGAGGGTGGAGGGGAGGGAGGAAGGCTACCCCGGTCCAACACGTACCTGGAGAATGTAAATGAGGGGGCGTGGCTTTGTTGGTTGCGGTTCCTGGTGGAGCAGCCCAGGCACCTCTGTGGTCCACAGACGCCCACGTGACCGCCTTGCCCTGAAGCCCACCGGCTCATCTTCCAGAGAGGGGGTCCCTAGCACCGTGCTCCAGGGCTTCCATGTTATTTTGTTTAAAGGGCGCTTCACGGGATGGGTTTACCTTGGGGCTAAAGACGCTCGCAGGGCTCCCCCAGGTGGGCGCACCCACACAGTCGGGGCCGTGAGTGCCGGTTGCATGTTCCATGTTTGCTGGTTTGCATGTTCAACTTGCCCAGGGCCCTGGCCCTTGGGTGGCTGGCCCAGGAGCTGGCATCCTGGTCACCTCTAAGATGCTGACCATGGTCACCTCTGGGTTGCTGAAACAGCCACCTCTGGGCTGCTGACCCTGGTCGCTGTGTGGGTCACACCTGCCTCCGTGTCGAGGTCACCCTTGAGAGGCGGGTCCCTGTCTGCTGGTGGCGACGGGGTTACTTGTAGAGGGGCTGCGAGTCTCCCACCCCCGCTCCCCACCCAGCTCCTGCCACTGCAGATGAGGTCAACGCGCGTGGAGAGGGACACATGCCTCTCTCGGGTCTCCCGCCTGCTCCGTGTGTCTGGGCTGTCTTTCCCATGAGATCTGGGATGGGCCGGTCCACAGAGACGTCACTGGACTGGGGCGCGGCAGGAGGGAGGGCGAGTGGGGCAGACGAGAGCCAGCGCGTCATCTGGACAAGGGGGGCCATGAACACGGGATAGTCATGGTCGGGACACTGGTTACACAGGTGCGGGCACACAGGGAGCTGGCATACACTCAGGCAGGTGCCAGGCCAATATATCCGTCACAGGTGGGCCTGAGGAATTGGGAGCAGGACCGTGGTGATGGGAACAGGCATGATATGTGACATTAAAGGGCTGACAAGCTTGGTCCCGGGCATTCTGACCGGGGCTGTCGCACGGAGCATGTGAGAGTCAAGGTTGACAGAGAAACACATCCTTAGAGTCAGGGGCTGGGCTAGCTCACTGTCCCTGTCCACGCCAAGCGTGAGGGTCAAGCCCGCTCAGAGGACCCCGGTGGAAAGCCCTCGGTGAGGGGAACCGCAGGACAGTCGGCCGGGAGCCCCCAGGTTGGGATACTGTGGCCACCCCCTGGTGGCCCACGCAGAAACCCCGTGGAGCGAGGGGCTCCCAAGACCGCACCAACCCCACGGCAGCCACGCGGCCACTGCGTGTCTCACAGAGGACCCTCGGGATCTTCCACGCGGCTGAGAGCCCCAGGGTCGGAGGTTCCAGACCACCAGCTACTCGGAGGGAGGAAGACGAGGCCGTCAGCTCACGAAGAGTGGCCGTCTGGGAAGCCTGCAGGGGCCGCTCCACCCCGTCCTGTGGGGTGGCCGCTATCAGCATCCAGAGTTGGACCTTTAGTGTTTTTGAAGGAGGGGAAACTTTGCAGGGTGGGGGGCGCGTCTGCGAGCCTGGGCTTCTTCCTGCAAAACAGCTTTAGAGAGGCGTTCAATGCCACTCGGGGACCTCCGCATGTCGGCCCAGGGGCTGGGGGCCCCCGTGGCTGGGTTGTCCGTGGCTGGGCTGTCCGCAGTTTTCTTGCCGGTGTAGTGTGTCATGATTTAGTACGGGGGGCGTCCCCTCCCCGCCCTCCCCTTTCCCCCTTCCCCTCATTCTTCAGTCCTGTCCCCTCCCTCCCTGACTCCCGTCCACTTTAATTCCCAGCCCCTGTTCATTGCTCCCTTCTGTCCACGCCGCCCCATGCCCTCTCCCCTCCCTCCACTTGCTGATAAAACCCACGCTGTTGTATGGGCATGCCCTTCACACGTGGTGGACGCCACAGCCCAGTCCTGGTAGGGAGCACTGCGTAGACATGGGCACCCCTCCCTCGCCTCCGCTCCGGTCTCTCCTCCCTCTTTCGCTTCCTCCCCCCTGCCCCCCCATGCTATTTTACATTTCCCTCCCTCCCTCCCCGTGGCCCCTCTCCCTGGCTTCCTGCCTTCCGCTGTGCTCCATGCGTGCTCCGCATGGATGAGGGGCCTGAGGGCAAGCTGGACCAGCTCTGCCGGGCACCAGACAGAGGAAGAGAGAGGGTTTTGCTGTGAGCGCTGTGTAACCCAGGGGACCCTGGAGGGGGGTTTCAATCTCTGCTCCGCCCACCACGTGCTTGCGAAGTGTTTCCCACAAGCTGCGCCCCGGGGTGAAGCGCCCCTTGGCCTCAGGCCTCGGAAAGGGAAAGCCCTGATGGGTGGTGGCCTCTTGTTGGTAAGGTGGCCTGAGGGCTGTCTGTCTGCCCCTCAGTCAGTGGGTAACTGGGAGCCCCTCCAGGCAGGACCCCCCCACCTGCTGTTCCCCCCCAGTCAGCTTCCATCACGGTGGGTCCTGGAGGCAGTTTGTAAACTTAACTCTGACGCTTCCACCTTCTGCCGGAAAAACAGAGCAAAACGCTGCCACTGAGCGGGATTCCGGCCCGTAGTGACCCTCTAGGACAGGGCAGAACTGACCTGTGGTTTCCCAGACTGCCCCTCTCCAGGGGAGTAGACAGCCCTGCCTTTCTCCCGAGGAGCGGTTTCGAACTGCCGACCTTTCAGGCAGCATCTCGACGTGCAACCACTCACTGCACCACAAGGGCTCCTTGTGGACGCACAAGGCCCTAGAGACAGGGCGAGAGCCGCCCTGTGGGTCCCCCAGGACCCTGGTCACTGGGGCAGCATCGTCAGACTGGTGTCCAACAGCGCAAGACACCATTGTCACCGCCCTTATGCTCGAAGGCCGCAGCCTCTGCGTCCGTCCATCTGTCCGGCTTGTCCAGGGCCTTCCTCTCCGTCGCCGCCCCTCCGCTTCACCAAGCACGACGTCCTTCTCGGGGCCTGGTCTCCAGACGGCGCGTCCACAGTGCGTGTGAGATGCAGTCTCCCAGGCTGGCCTCTAAGGAGCACTCTGGCCGTACTTCTCCCGAGACAGACGGATTTGTCGGTAGTCTTCACCATGCCGAGGCATGGGCGTCCCTGGTCCCGTGTTCCGCATCCACAGAAAAGGTTTCTGAAAACCAGTCTCTCTGCCCTCGGGTGGATCTGGCCCGACGCAGTGGCCCTGCCAGTCAGAGCCGTGCCTCTGGGTCCCAGGCCGTCAGTGGGAGCTGGCAGCCTCACCCATCTCCGGGGGTCCTTTGCAGAAGGAGATGGGCACCTTCTCTCAAAACACCCCTGGGTGCATTCTGACCTTCAACAAGCCGAGTTCCGCTTGTCCTGGGGTCAACCCCTCCTTTCTCAGGAGCACCCACACCTGTCCCTGGACCACCGCTGTTATCCCATGGACCCCACTGCTGGCTGTGGCTGTGTTTAGCCCCCACCCCTCCCGCCCACCCCCACCAGGTTAACCTGAGCTGTGGGACAGGCCCTTGCCCCACCCGCCTCCAGTCTCTGGCAGGTCCTCACCATTGATGGATCTATCGATTGCAAGGATTTTCTGTCCTGACACCCAGGGCAGGTTCACAAAGGCCTATACCCCGGGGCTAATTAGCCAGATGCAAATGGCTTTCCAAGGCTGTTGGGAAACATTCCAATGACCTGTAATTAAATTAGATTGCCAAATTATTTGTTAATTATCATCTTCCTGAGCTTCCCCTCTAGCTGGGGACCACTGCGGGGCAGGCGGGGCGAGCAGAGCCTCCGGACAGGCTGGGCAGGTGGCTTCCCAGCTCTGCCCGCCCTGCCTGGGGTCTCCTTGTCCTGTGGGTGTCCCTCTGGGCTGGCCGGCTGCCTGGCCGCAGGGTGTCCCCTGAGAGGCTGTGCTGAAGCTGAGCCAAGCATGCTGGGGATGAATAGAGCACCAAGCTGCCCAGTTCCCCTCTTCACCATCCCGGCACCCGGACAGACAGGAGGGCTGAGGGGCCAGGTGGCTGCCCACTCCCGTCTCCTGTGGTCATCGCCCGAGGTTCCTAGTGTCACACCAGCCTGGCCCCGGATGCGCCCGTGGAACCTGTTCTCAGGGTGGGAAGCCACCGGCTCCCTGTGCTGTGGGCCCCCTGCGCCAGGGGTGGTTTGATGGGAACGAGCTCACCAGGCCTTTCCTCTGAGGCCCCTGCGGGTGGAGCGATGGCACAGTGCATGGAAGACTGGGCCGCCAACGGCAGGTCAGCAGTTCTAACCCCCTAGCGGCTCCGTAGGAGAGGCGGCTTTCTCTCCTGTAAAGCGCTACAGCCCCGGAAACCCACAGGGGCCGCCCTGCTCTCTCCAATGGGGTCGCCGTGGGCTGGCATTAACTCCATGGCACTGAGTTTAGCCCTAAATAAAACCTGGATGCGGGTCTTAGAGACGCAGCCGAGTTCGAATGAACTGTTTGAAACGAAAAATCTAAACCCAATTCGCCACCGTCGAGTTGATGGCCGGCTCACAGTGGCCGTACAGGACCGGCTAGTACGGCCCCTTGGCCGCCCAAGACTCACTCTTTACGGGGGTGGACAGCCTCATCTTTCTCCCTCGGGGCGGCTGATGCATTCGAACTGCCGACCTCAAGGTTGGCAGCGCAAGTCAGAACTTGCTGTCACCAGGGCCCCTTAAGGGGTGGGGTGGCCTTTGGAAAAGCTGCCTATTTGGGGCGTCTGGCCGCCCAAGACTCACTCTTTACGGGGGTGGA